GTCTGTAAGTTGGATAGAAGAGAATGAGTGGGCAAAGTCTCAATGAATTGATTTTTCTTCTTTGTTATATATGTATAGTCATGAATAAGAAGAGTATGATGTCACAGACCAACCAGTTTTATTCAGGAAAGTTGACCAACCGTGATGATTTTAATTTATCAGATGTATGAGAAAATTGTTTCCCCTAATGGGGTTAAGAATTCGCCTGCAGTGCGGGAGATGTAAGAGACATGAGTGGGGAAGATCCCTGGGTGGGGAAGATCCCTGGGTGGGGAAGATCCCCTGGAGGAGGGCAAGGCAACCCATTCCAGTATTCTTGCCTGGAGAATCCCAGGGACAGAGGAGCCTGGTGGGCTACAGTCCATGGAGTGGCAGAGTCAGATATGACCAAAGTGACTTAGCACACACGCAGTCATGAGAAAATCACATTTAAGAAGTTGATTTAGAAGAAGGCTGGAATATTCTGCTTGGGTTGCTAGATCCTTGGAAATTAGCAGTAGGTCTCAGAGACAGTAATCCTTTGGAGAAGATGAAGAATGTTATTGTTACCAGTTGTTTATCTTTTCTCTCCTCACATTCTTCTTTGTAGACTTCTGTGGTTCAGTGGTATGATGATCTCTGCAGACTCTCCTAGCTCTACTAAATTCTAGTTGCTTGAATCTCTGAGAAATTTAACTGGAAATATTTATTTAAGAACTAGGACTAGGAAATTAACTATATTATAACTTTAACTTGAGTAGAACAGCTTAAGAATACTATGAGAGTGTCAACAAGTAAGTGTGAATTGAAGTGAAAATTCAGGTCTTTATCTCTAAGGAAGCTGTGGTCTCAGAGAGAGTGACACAATGTATGTATTTTAGTAATTTTGTAATGCAGGTACATGTGATATGTAGAGGGGCAAAGGAGACAAACTGTATTTTGTCTGGGAAGATGTCAGGGAAGAGGTAACGTTTGCGCTGAGATGAGAAAAGTGAGTTGGGGGGCTTCCCTGGTGTTTTAGTGGTTAAGATTGAGCTTCCATGCAGAGGGCAAAGGTTCAATCCCTGGTTGGGGAGCTAAGATCCCACATGCTCTGCAGCATGGCCAAAAAAAGAAAGAGTGAGTTGGGTATTTAATGGAGTGGACAGTGGCATTCTATGGAGAGGAAAGTGTGTAAGAGAAGACTTGGTGGTATGAGAAAACATGGTCTTTGGAGAATCACAGAGTAGAGATCAATATTCTGGAGCATTACATATATATATATATATATATATATATATGTATATAATATATATAAGGAGAATGGTGGCAGTAATATCCCAAATGAAACATGGGTACTAGTTTGGAATCCGTCAAAAATGTCTGTCTTAGTGGGGCTATGGTGTTGCTGCTCACTGAGATAAAGACTGTAACAGGACACATTAGATTGGTTAAGTTAGATTTGTTTTGTTGTTGTTGTTGCTGGCTGCACTGCATGGCTTGTGGGGTCTTAGTTCGTTGACTGAATTGAACCCAGGCCCTGGCAGTGAAAGCTCTGATTCCTAACCACTGAACCACCAGGGAATTCCCAGTGAGGTTAGTTGTAGACATTGCATTCACAGCAAACCAGGGATCATCCATGTGAAAATGCCAAGTAGGCCTGGAAAGATACATAGTTCTAGGGTGCAGGAAAAAGTATTGGGCTAGAAATTCAGATCTGGTCATCATCAGTGCCCTGATGGTTATCCATGTCATGGATGTCAGGGGTGTAGATAGAAGAGCCAGTGAGTGGAATCACCACCATTTAAGGTCCAGGTGAAAAAACCATCCAGCAAAGAACCCAGAGGAGAATCATAAGAACCCAAAAGCACTGAAAACAAAGCTTGCATTGTTCTATAATGTTGCTTAGAAATTAAAAGTTATGACTTAAAAAAAAATCAACTTAATTATAATTTTAAATAATTTATTCAGACTTCCAGGTCCTACTTGCTTAATTCTTTGTGAAATAAGCAAATGTGGCCTTCTTTGTACTCACTGGCCTGAATGTATAAATGGAGATTGTGGATGGTTGAATAAATATGTGTTTGCAAGGTTGTAAGACTGCTGCTTTGGAAGTACCAAGGAGGGATGGAAAAGAGAGTAATTTAAAATTAAGGGGATGGGCTGGGTGTAAGGTTTCAAAATGTGAACTTATAAAAACAGACCAGATCTCTATGTCAATTCTTAAACCAAAGCAAATTCTAGAAGGAGTCCAAGATGTACGTGTAAGAATGAAATTAGGACACATAGAGAAAATAGGATGACAATTTAAAATTTTTTGGTGTGAGGAAAGTTTGTAAAGAAAAAGATTGGTGGAATTAATTACAGAAAAATAAAGTGTAGGGTCTTGGATACTGTGAAATATCCAGTATGGATATAGAAAAACAACTAATTTGGGGGACAGATTTGCAGTACGTGTGAGAAAGTGTCCTGTGTGTGGTCATGGTGGTAAATGACTCAAGTGATCAGGGTTCAGGACACTTGGGGAGGCCAAAGGCCATGGGACTTAGCCAAGAGTATTTGAAATCATATTGACATGAGCATCAAAGCCCCTAGGACTGTGTCGGATATTGTGGTGGAATGAACATAGGGAGTAGTCAGACCCAAGAATGGTATTGATAAGGATTAGATAGGAGTGTAGATGGAATGCGTGGCTTTCAGTGGATACAATGTTATCGTGGTATTTGCGAACATTCCGGAACCCTTCAGTCCTTCTGGAGCTATAAACAAATCTGAAGGTTTGAAGAAAATGTGAAAATTATTTTGGAAGTGTTCTCATGAATTACTTGAAACTTTTTTGATTTCCAAAAAAGTTTGATTTTGGCTTCCAAAATCACCAGCCAGAAACTGGTTTAGAGCTTTGACTTTTCTAATGCATGTGTAAGATGAGTATATACTTCCTTAGAGCTATGCAGTTTAATCTCAGGGACTTTGAGCTTAAGTGCACAGATATTATATAGATACACTGAAGTGTGAACTTTCTGTCTTTGTGGAATGAAAAACTGCTACAACAGAAAATGCAAGTGTCATCTCATTCCTGAAATGGCTAGTTGATAAACTGAGAATAATTCTCTAGATATATAGGAAGGCAGAGATACAGATTAAAATTTAATTTCCACATATAATAGTACTGTGATGTTAGAAAGATGTGTTTTATGGTTGGCAATAAGAAAGAGAAGGTGGATTAAAATTATAGAAAAGCTCTTTGGGACAGACCTAGTCTACCTCATTATGTTATTCGGCAAATATTTATTTGGATCCCATCCTTTTCTGGGCACTCCCTAGTAAATAGCAATAGGCAGAAAGGGCTTATTACTTTGTGCCAAGCACAACACTGTTTGCCTTTCATGAGCTTTGTCATTAAATCCTCACAATAACGCTTTACATAAAATTATTACCCCATTTTATAGGAGAGGAGATAGAGGCTTAGAGAGTTTTAAGTAATTTCCCCAAGGTCGTATCGCTATTAAAAATGACGGAGGAGTCCGCTTTCAAATCCAAGGCTGCTTGGCGGTGGAGCCTGGAGCCTGAGTCTTAAATGTCTTTTTAAATGGGGCGTTACTGAGCGTTCACTGTGGCACCAGGTGCCAGGCTCTGTAATCCACGTAGGAATCCTCAAGGTAAGCTTCGCTATCGTCTTCAGTTTTACCGCTGTGCTGTTGTGCTCTCCCCAGTGGTAGTCTGGCTGCAGCCTGTGGTAGATCCTATGCTATCATCAGATATTCATGCCAGCTTTATAATGCCCAGTGGATGAAGCTGTTAGCTTCAACAATTTGGAAAAACTATTTTAGCAGCATTGAGAGGGTATTTCTGTACAAATCCATTGTATTTTATGTAACTATCTTCCTTTTTCCTTTACATCTCATAGTCCTTGTATTTCTAGAATTAAGATTCTTAAAAAGAAAAAAATCACTTTACCCTTTAAAAAATCTGAAAACTATTGAGGGTCTACTTTGAAATTTTATGACTTCCTGTAGATTTCAGTGGCACTGTGTTTTATGTTTGATATGTGAATTTTTAAGATTTTGAATAGGAAAACATTTACAAATAGGAAATCAGCTTTACGTATATGAAATAGTCTGGGTAATAGGACCATGTCAATTTTTTTTCACATAAAATTATGTTCTTTGGTTAGTGGTTAGTATTTTAAAGGAAATGTGTTAGATTTTCCCCTTATTCCTCTTTTATTTTTATCTCACTTTCCCTTTTAGTCTGTGATCTATTTTTCCAAATCAATATGAGCAATGATCTTTTAATTAAATTGAATTGGCGCTTACATTTCTGTTGCAGAAAGCATTGTCAGTCCTCTCCTAAAAGGACAAGTGTATTATCTGCTCGGTAACAGGGTGTTGCTGTTCACTTGTGCTGTACTGCAAAGGAGGAGGGGAAATTAAGGTGTAAAACAGAAGTGTTTTTCTAAAGGAGTTAGGGAGCAGGTACTAAATGTATCTTTAATTAAAAGACAATCAATAAATTTTAACAAAGATTAAAATATTTTTAATCTAAAAATTGGGGTTCTGGTTTGATATTTCATTCTTAAGTGACAAAAATGATTCACTGAGCCATATTTTTCAGGGCTGGTGAAGTAGCCAAGGGTTGCCTATCTGTTCATTACAGTCTGTAACTTTATTGTCCCAGCTTCTCAGATTATCTAGTAAATTGAATCCAGTTGTTAGCATTTTTAGTTTGTATTTTAATTTGCCGCATTTAAAATCATCTTGGAGAGCCATGCTAGTTCTACCTTAAAAAAGAAAACACCCCTCTGCTTGGCAGAAATGGTACTTCCTGCTTTCATAAACAGTCATGTGCATAGTTTAGCAAGGCCTGATGCCTCTGGAGCTTTTTCCCTTTATAGCACCATTGAATCCCAGTCCTGACAGAAGTACTGCGAATCTTGTGGCCTCATTCTGAACAAAAGGAATTAGAGAAGAAAAATCTCTTGATATAAGGCTTGAAAGCAAGGGCAGGCAATCTTGGTTGTGAATATTTTCTGATTTTTCCAGAAATCAAGCAGAAGATTGAGCTGCTGATGTCAGTTAACTCTGAGAAGTCGTCCTCTTCAGAAAGGTACAGCTCCATCTCTTGCATGAACAATTAATGGTGTAGCATTGCTAAGAAACAAATCAGGGCATATTGTTTTCTTGTCAAGTTTGCTATATAATGTATTGTACTGCATGCTGGTCATTGTGCTGTTTTGAAGATGTGTATTTGGGTAAGCTGTTCTGCTTTTACAAAAAGGGTAATTGATTTTTTTTTTTAAATAGTGAAGCCTAATCAGCTGCAGCATGCACACCATAACACAGCAGACTGCTGGCTTATGTGTGACAGCTGTTTGAAGGCTTTAAAAAATAATTTACTTAGCTAGAAAATAAACAAAAACCTTGCTTTCCTTAAGGAAATAGTACTAGGTTTTCTTCCTATATTTTGAGGTTGTTGCTGCACAAAATTTCCAATATTATTTGTAAGGTCTAGGTTAAAAATACTTAGCTTTTGGTTGTAATAAATATTTTCTTGTGTGGAAAGGGAGTGCCATTTGTAAATAGCTTAGGAATTGCAAACCCACATATTAGTCACATTCTGAAAGAGAGATACGATGCTTCTTCAAGTCTGTGCTAGGAAATGGAACAGTCACTGCATGCAGTAATGGTTCATGCCTGCAGGTAAGGACAAAATGACTCAGAAGTATTTTTAAAGCGATTATTTTATCTGTCAATCAAATGATTATACCTGTAAGGAGATATTTCCATAAAATGTCTGTTTAACTTAATAAACAGAATTAACATACGTTTCTCTCAAGTCAGAAATGAGACTATAGTTGCCTATTTTTATATGTAAATGTGTGTTCACTTCTCTTTACAAAAATGGTTTATGCTACAAAATATTTTAAATTGAAGTTCTTGGGCATACAGTTGGTACTTACTTTTCTGTTGGTTACCTAATAGTTTATACCTAATGTTGATATTTTTATATTTAAGATGTGTTGATTTCTCTCTTCCCTGGTTACTCTTCAGGGTTGTCTTTTTGTTCACATTTAATATTTAAGAAGATATTATGGAGAAATAATTTGCTAGTTAAAGAATGATGTAGGAAAAACACCAGAAAGAAAATAGGTGAAGAACCCAGCATGGTAAAATGAATTTAATTATAGTTCACTAGTGTATGGAGGACATGATCTGATGGCAAAATGATGACATTAAATTGATTTATTAGTATAATTGGGTGAAAGGCCTCTGGCTTTAATTTAGGGAATTATAAATAAGGAAGGTATTACTGCTTTCTTTAGAGGTTGAAAATAGAAAAATTTAGACACATTTGTGTTTATTTTTATGTAGCTTCTAACTTCTCATTTGTGCTCAGCTATCCATTTTAAGTGTTCTTTTTTGCTGAGATAAAAAACAATCTTCAGCCTTGTGAATATTCTGCCAGTAAAATGGTGGTGATGGGAAGGGGAGAGGATGGTGGTGTAAATGGTGAACGGACTGGGTGCCAACTGTAATGTTAGAGTTTTGTAACTAGGAAGAGCATTCTTAATGGCATGACAACAGTAATTATGTTGCCTTTTTGAGTATCATGTTTTCTCTATTGAGAAATTGAAGGTTGAACAGAATGGATGAGTATTACCCAGAAACAAGTTCGGAATGGGTGAGGCTTTTATGGTTAAAATATACTCTTATAAGGAAATATTCTAAAATATTTTGGTGATGACATTTATTTATTTTAAAATTATTATTACTGTCTCAACTAAGGTCTTGTGGTTAAATCTGATAAAAGGGAGGATGAATGCGGACATGGTTTTAAAGTTTAGAAATCAGCCACTGTGCTTATGACAACTTTATACACATTTTTACCAGAGCGTGCTTGCTTTATTATTCTTTTGGGGTTTTTCACACTTATATTTAGCAATTGTGATATGCTGACCTAATGGGTATTAATGTAGTTTATGGATCAGCCAACACTTTGCTAACATAGAAGTTGTTTTACTAATGTAGGCATATTAAAAATAGAAATTACTCTTCCCCCCAATTTAAAAAATTATACAATGATAAATAGTCATTCATTTGCTTTTTTAGTTTATCTGGAAGAATTTGAAAATCAAGAATCTGAAATTAAAAAAAATTACAGCCTAATTATACTATATTCAGCCTACAAATTTAATTTAGTATCATGTAGCATTGCCACTACACTCTGCAATTCCTTGTTCTCTAATCACCTAAATTTTTAACACCTTTGACTGTTGTATTTTAAATTAGTTATCTGAAGCATGGCATGAGTCTTAAAGATATTTGGAATTTACCTCTGGTCAGTATTTCCATGTATTTATTGGTTAAAGAAAGAATGAAGAAACCTTGTTTTTCTTTAAAGAGAGTTGAAGCTTCCTATGTATTTACTGGTTAAAAAAGAATGAGGAAACTTGTCTTTCTCTAAAAAGAGGAGAAGCTAATTGTAAAAACCAAGTTATCTTTTGTTACGATTGATTTTTGTTTACTGTCTGCAGTGTAACATGATCTTTGAATGTTTGGAGAGTCAAGTGGAGGAATGATGTTTTTAAGTACAAAATACAATAGGTGTACAAACAGTGATGTGATCACATTCCTGATAATCTTAACAGATCTCAATACACCTTGAAATTTATTTATTTATTTTTAACACCTTAAACAGAATGAGGGGGATCCATCCAATGTCATTTGGCCGGGGAGGTGTGGAGCACTTCTTTTCAGAATGGCTGACTCATAGGACAAAAACCAGTTGGGTGACAAAAGTTGCAATTTATTTTTTGGTTTTATATTTTGGAGAGAGAGAGAAAAAAAATGTTAGCTTACCTATTTTCAAAATTAAGGATGGAGAGCACTACTGTGAATGAATAAAAAACCAAATGATCCTAATTGTTGCCAGTTAAAAGGAACACATATATGTGGCAAGAGTGCCCTTGCACAGATTTTAGGAATAAACCTTACACTGAGTATTTCTTTTTTAATTGAGCTACTGTTGAATACATGAGTTGTATTCAGCTTAAATATGATAGAGACAAGGGTCAGGCACAATTTTACTTCTTCATCTACTGCTACTGACTGTTTAAAAAAAAAGCCATGCATATTTATTTGATGCAAAAGTTAAGTTTTCAGATATTTGCTTCTTCTTGCCTTTTCCTAGCTAGAACACTCCAGGGAAGTGGAAATTTATGGGGTTACAGTCGGTGGGGAAGAGGCGGATGGTAATAATGATAATACCTAGGAAAAAATGTAATGATCGTTTATTCAGCATTTTTAGATGATCATTTATTAAACATTTTCAGATACTAGTTCTCAGTGAGGAGAAGGTGTGTGTGAGGGAGTGGGGTGCTGTTGGAAGGACTCCGATAAACCATTCCCAGAAGGGCCCTGAGTGAACAAAAAGCACTTTGCTCTGCTGCAAATTTTTTCAGACTCTATTACTGCTTCTTCAGTGGGCTCATGAACAAATTCAGACCATGCTTAATACAGAAGAGTTGAGCCCAGAGTGCTGAGAGCTGTGATCCCCAGTCCATCTAGGCTGGGTTCAGGAAGAGTTGAGGAGGTAAGAGATAAGGGGCTTGAGAAGCTGAGAATCCGCATTCGCCGTAAGCATTGCCCACATCTGTTATAAAATGTGAATGAATGATGTGATTAATAAGGTTCACAGTCACTCAGAAATTAAAGGAGTATCAGTGCCTTGTAGGAAATGGAAATATCAGTGCCCAGTATCCTTCCTGAGAAGGAAATGGATACTAAAAGGACCATTTCTTGTTGTGTGTGTGTTTCTTACTATTTTTCTTTTTTTGCTGTCAAAGGGGTCTTTATATTGGAATAGATAAATAGTATCCTAGATCTTTAGCATCCCACAGAGCTAGCACATACTTGGCAAATTGCTAGTTACCTTTTAAAGAAGAGAGAAAGGGAGAGGGGGAGAGCATCTTAAAAATAATTATGCTGTGGCCTATATTCTACCAATGCTATGTAGACGGAGTTGGTAAGAGGTGATGGAGATTGGTGTGTTGCCCCTCCATTCATATAAGGGTATTTGAAATACATGAAGAACCTGTGCTATGTGGCATGTGGGATCTTAATTCCCCAACCAGGGATGGGACCCATACCTCGGCTGCATTGGGAGTGTGAAGTCTAAAGCACTAGGCCACCAGGGAAGTTGCGAATCTGTGCTATTTTTGTGTGTATATTTTAGTTCCTTTTCTTACTTTGGAGCCTATTCAGTGAAGAGAAAAAGGGCATATGATAATAATGCGTGGTTGCAGAAAGCAAAAAGAGAAGTCTGGAAGAATCGGAAGAATGGAAGGGAAAGAATAAATAAGAATCTCACCATATGAAGAGAGAAGAAAGTAAAGGATGTTCAGTGGAAAATGATCCAGGATCAAGGGGTCTTTTATTTGCTCTGATGTTGAGTTTAATTTTCTCCATGTTGCTGTGGTGAAGTAGTTGTGAGAGGAGAGCCAAATTTTTAAGATTCTCTCTTCATTGAACCTATCCCCTCCCCATTCCAATACAAAGGATAGATTGGCCTCAATGATCAGTATTTTTCCCCTTTCCACCTGTCACTCTTAACATTTTTGGCTTGTTTTTGTATGTGCAGTATAGAAGCATTTGAGACATTTTTTTTGAGATAACTGTGGCTTACTGGGTTGTCTTTCATCTATTCTAGCTTTATGCTTTCTTCTGCTTTTATTTATTATTTAGTAATATTTAAACTGTAGTTGTGTATGGGAAAGTATGTAGATCACAGATCATTATAAAATTCAGTTTGATTTTTTTTCTTTCGTGTGTAGTTTATGTGTTGTATCTAAATCTTGGCCAAGTCCTTGGTCACTAAGGTTTTCTTCTAGATTGCATATAGAAGTTTTCAGCTCTTAATATTTAAGTCTGTGATTAATTTTGGGTTTTAATATTAAGGTAAAAGTTGAAATTGTTTCTGTACATGACTAGTCAGTTGTTTATCTCTTTTTGAATAATATATGTATGTACACACACACACACACACACACACTCTGCGTACTCTTTTGGTCTGTCTGCTCGCAGTGTTATCTGTGTAAGATTCATCTG